TCTCTCTCTCTCTCTCTCTCTCTCTCTCTCTCTCTCTCTCTCTCTCTCTCTCTCTCTCTCTCTCTCTCTCTCTCTCTCTCTCTCTCTGTCTCTTCTCCCTCCCTCCTCCTCTTTCTCATCTTCTGCTTCCTTGAGTCTGAGAGTGTGTGAGGTTATCCGTAGGGATTCAGGTTGGGGTTTGAAACGGGCGCACTGCCCAGGATTTGATTCGACATTTCTGAGACAGACATTGTTTGGACATTCAGGAAGAGACTATTTTGGACTTCGCCATTGCGATCTTGGTCTACTCTCTCGCCTCCTCCCTCTTTCGTTTGTCCCTCCCCCATCTCTCATCCGTGGTTTCTCCCCATGTGTGTGTATGAAGGAGGGACCTTCCTTCCATGATTGCGGTCCCTCCTCTCTCGCCCATGTGGGATGTGTGATGGATGTCGGGTCGGTCCAGATCAGATCAGATCTTCTCTTTGAAATCTTCCGCTGTGCCATTTGCGCCATCTTGTATATCTTGGATGTACATTGTTTGTTGATGCAGCGCTGATCTAGCATTGTCCATCTCAGTCCTTGTAATCATATTGTGGGTCCTTGGTATATTGCGCACTGCTCCCCACGGCATGCGTCATTTGTGGTATCGGAGCTGCAGATGTGAATCAGGACGAACCTGATCTGACGCGCGCACGAGGACCACCCAAGATCGATTGGGTGAGTATCGATTGATCGATCAATCGATCCTATATCGATTGGTTGATCCCGGATTGATTGATTGATTGATTGAGTATTGATTGATTGATTGATTGATTGATTGATTGATTGATTGATTGATTGATTGATTGATTGATTTTATCATACTAATTAGTCCCTAAATCGCAAAACTTCGACCCAACCGCCGAAATCGAATTTTTTTTGCTGTTTTGGATTCGTTTTCCCGCCATTTCTTTCTTTCAACAATAGCGGAGCATCTGAAGGTTCGTTTTTCTTTTCTTGAAACCCGAAATTTTGTTGCTAGGAGATCAAAAATACTGCGATTTTCCATTAACATGTTATTCGTTAAAATAGTACATTATTTTCTAAATAGTACTTTGTTGTTCGAGAAACTCGAAAGGTATACAAGGCTGACGAAAGAAGATGCTCATTATACATTAATACATAACGATAAGAATCCCTGTTCAACGGATAAATCCTCAACACATTTAATTTGTTTCAAGACGAAAAGTTTAATTACTGAAGTCGGATACATCCTTGCTAAACTGACACACATTCAGACAGTCATTATGAACGTAGCGTATCGAAGGTTTCCCCTAAAGAGGGACGCATATAAGTGACCTGGAAAAAGGTCTTTGTTGAGGCTTTAAAGGGTGCATAGGAGGGACACGAATAAGTCATTTTTTAAGTTTAATTGAATACAAGTAGGATGACTAGGATACATCCGAATCRCATGTTTCGATATCCATATGTACACAAGTTGGCAACTTTTATAGTAATACTGGGATATATCCGAATCAAATATTTTATTATTCGGATGGAGAAAATCCGTAATGTTATCTACCGCGCATCATTCATTAAATATTCTTCACTTAATCAAAATGTTGAATTTATGATCATAGCTCGGATCACTCTCCGAGGGAAAATTAACCAATATGTTATCATTCCAAGAACAATTATAGCTTACTAGACATTTCGTAAAACAAAAGGGTGTCGGACGGAGTGAAGTGGTGGGCAACATTACGTAGAGATGTTATCATTTGCTGCTTGTTGGGTTCGACCTTGTAACCATGAACTTGTAACATCCCTACCCAATGCTGCCCACCACTCCAACACTGTCCTCGCCGAGATCAAATGATGTATGTTAACAAATAAAAGTGCACCCTCGGGACCCCCTTAAGAACTGTAGTAAACATCAGTCTTAAATTTTTACTAGATGGCAGATGCATGTACATCATCACTTTACCAAACATTTCTCAAAACAAACGGGCATCGTACGGAGTGAAGTGGTGGGGAACATATTATGTAGAGTTATTATCATCCGAGGATTGAGCACTGGAGAAGGCTCAAACGAATGCGTAGGATACATCCAAATCAAACTGTGTACAGATTATCAGATGTTCAAGTGACCAAGGACCTTATCATTATTTTGAAAGATCTCACTAGATTTCGAAGTCAATTGACAACTCATGAGAACTAGATTGAAAAGCGAAGACAAATTAAAAATAGAGCGGGACACCCAACCTACATATTATGAAGTCATAACTGTTGCAATAGTTTCGAAAGATCTCACCAAGCAGGCACACAACCATTCTCGAGACAAATGATAAGTATGCCGTAAAAACTGATAACAGTTATCTGGTCCCAAAATTGTGAATTCGTAACAGTTACCTCAAATGTTTCCATTAACCAAAGAGTTGGCAAGGCTATCCAAACCAAGAACACCCACTACGCCATGAAATGTGAACTAAACTGTGCAAAACTTAGGCTCACGTTCTACATAACCAAACAGTTTGCAAGGCGAGGACGCAGGATGAATCAGAAACCCTTAGTACTTTAAAGTGTGAAAATTTCAACTAATCGGACATTCGAACACAAAACTTTGGAAATGTCGAGATTTATCTCTAGAAAAGCCTACAGTATGAAAACATTCACAAATCCGACATCCAGCCGGAACTTTGAAAACGTAAGACTCGTTACCAAGGTGTCTTGAACTTGAAATCTTCAAAAGAAGCCTCTTCGCAGAGCGTTCACTATCGGTTCCCATGTCGAACCGTTCACCATGCGAGTCGGGATTGAAGGTTGAGGCAGACCTTCAAACTGTGTAATGTCAAACGAGAAACCCTCAATGTCACCCCCCGCTCCGAGCACAACACATCTCAAGGCGAAAAGAACTTATGAAGCTTTTATATAAGCTCTTGCAAAATCTCCTCGCAACCAATGATCTCCCCGACGCTCATATATTCGCATGTCGAAAATGTTCAGATCAGTAAACCTCACCATGATGACAAACATTGTCCGTCCTCCCTGTATGATCATGAAGATTCTCTTATATTAAAAAGGAAACACTCCTTCCTTTGTGACGATCGCCAGTCGTTCAGGCACTTTAATTTCTATGAACCCCAAAATCTCATCCATGTTTTCGAAGTACGTCTAAAAAGGAAAGTCTGCACAATGTGAAAGACAAAAGTCACAATAAAAGTGTTTCATCAAGGTCAGGATCCAAAGCCTGAGGCCACGCAACGACGACCCAAACTTTCCCACGCTCAATGTCGAAAATTGATGAAGAACTCTTGTTGATTTGAAGCGCGCAACCTAGAGAGCACAAATCATTAAGCTATGTATTCCATGGAGTCAAGCGTGTTGTGCACAGGCCAGCATGGCAATATGTTCTCCTCACGAAAAAACGACAACCATCACATTGTCGATGAGGTAGCCTCCTGCCCGCTCCCTTCTCGGAAAACACTTTGTGTTTGAGCGCCAACGCCGTTTCCTAGGGCCGGAGTTACATTTTTTCTTACTTTCAGAGGAATTACAAGACCGGTGGTGAACTTTTTGGACAACTCGCAGACATTCGTCCTCGTTTGTCTCATCCAATAAAACGCAATGGTTGTGACATGTTGATACTCTTCCTCGTGCCCTGGAGCTTTTTTCCATTTTTTCTCCCACGCGTCGGCATACAAATCTCTTTGTGTGCTTGCTTTTCCAATCGGAACCCAGTACTCCACTTTGAATTGGTTGTACATGGCGAATCTTCGTTCTTGTCCACTTCACTGCGAACGTGGCCAACCCAAAAAGACACTCCTTGATGCATGTCCTCGTCCAATGGTTGCATAATGACAAAACTGTCGACATGCACATCTTCGAAAGGATCAAAGCTGGCCTTAGGCTTGTCCCTCTGAAGATCCACGAACAGAGGTTCTCTCTGTAATTTGGATGCATCCGAATCAGAGCAAGAACTCCTCTCTTCAACGACATGGGTGGCCTTTGGCCAGAATTCGGTGATGGGTGCTGAAGGCACCCCGTTGTCGATAATGTCCCCCGCATGTTTGACGTGATCTTCACACCTCATCGTCTTGGAAAGTCATCCCAATTTCTTTTTTTTTTCCATAGACTTCCAAAAACCTCTTCACACCCTCCAGGCCGTTTTTGTAATCGTCGAGGAACGCTGGTTGGACTAACAGAGGATTGGAAGGTTGTTGTGGACCAGCGTAACCACTGTTGTGTGTTTGTTTGAACTCGTAAAGAGGACCATCCTCGGGCAACCACTTAGCGTATGTGCAATACTCTTTATAGGACATGGCGGGATTATCACCTATCATGTAGAATTTCAGCAAATGAGGCTTCGAAATCCCTGTCATGCGCTTTGAAACATGCGGGTAAATAAGACCTCTCCAGTCTGCTATCCTATCAAGAAAAATACACCGCGGAGGAGTCTTATGAGACCGCTCTAGAAAAACGAATAACTCATCCATTGTGTAGGCATCATTGTCTTTGAGTTTCTTGGAGAAAATACTAAAAGTGGCATCAACGTCTGTGTGCGTGTGTCCAACTATCATAAAACCAATTTCTATTTCTTTGAAAATCCCGAATTTCACAAGGAGTGCTGCCAATGCGCAGATGAATCTATTCTTGTTTTCTTTAAAGTAGTTGTCAGCTTGAATACGAAGAACCGGTGGTAGACCTTTCCCACTGGATTGGATCTTCGTAAGAGTTTGCATTAAGCACGTCGCCGTACTGCTGGGGCCGTGTGTGTAGTAAGGGAAATATGTGTAAACATATATAGACGGATCCCGATCATGGACCAGAACGACCGTGAGACAAGTCTTCATCATCCTCTCGTGGTGCAAGTCCTTCGAGTAGTTAGCCTGTCCTATATGCGGTATGATAGTTTTCTTCTGATCCATGTCGTCGATAATGATGCACAGACACTCGGACTGCCGCAAGATGGAATCCATTTTGCAGCGGGTATAGTCTAGTCTTTGGTTGACTTGCAACTCTTGATGTTTCCGCATCCTATCTTTGGATTTCTTACGTTCCCTCTCGTAGTTCGACTTAGCGATGCACTGCTTGTAGAATATATATTTTGCGCACTTTGTGAATGTGTTGGACATGCTAGCTAGATTCATGTGCCAGAAGTGCTTACTCCACATAGCGTAGAAACTCGACTCCGACACAACTTCCGAGTGACACATCAAAAGATATGAACGCAACGACTCGTAAATTGCTCGTTTTGTGAATGTTGCAGGAATCCTACTGCAAGGACGATAAACTCCGTCTTTCCAGACCATGTCATTCGGCATACTATCGGCGTGGTCGTCGATGGATCATTTCAACAGCGCAAGCATTGTGACGACTTTTTCGGATGGTTTAGACAAACCTAAGTGCCCATGCTCCTTAACGACAACACCGTTATCGTACATCCTTTTGTAGACATAGAAGGTGTTACGAGAAATGTCGAGAATGTTACAGTATGCCTGCACGCACGTCTTTCGTTTGCAAGCTATAGGCCTGACCCGCTCAGCACCACCTTCCATAACCGTGAAGTCATGTATGGTTTGCAACCACGACTTCGTCCTTTCCGTGAAGCTTTTCGAGTAGAATGCCTCCCGCACCGGCCTCACATCTTCGGCTGTCAATTCAGCGCAACACATCTGCCTACAACAGAGCATCCCTCGAACTGCCTGAAGTGACTGCGTCCTCAGCTTGCCCATAGCTCGACGATGTTGTGTCTTTTTGGCGGGTTCTCTGTTTGCCATAGAATAGGGTCTTCTTTCACCGGGCACAGGCGCCGGCAAAATGTACCATATGTGGCGGTCTTCTTCGGACAGACAGCGCGAGGTCTGACTATCTGGTGAATAACTGTACTAAGTGATTTCATTTGTGGATTTTCCTCGACTCTCTTGACACTGTGGAGGGGTAGATGAGGAAACCCTCTCACCTCCATCGACAACCCCAAAGGATGAAGCAACAGAAGTGCAGTTGTTCACACTATACACGTACTCCGTCCCACTATAACTACACTCACCGAGATTCCCCTCAGTTATTGAATGCGACATCCCAATGTCGGTCATTTCAGAACATGCTGAATAGACTCAGGATGTGCTATCGACACTAAGAAACAGGCCCCCGGTTCTAGTGTTGATGTGGTATTCGACAACGTAAGAACCTATGTACGAATATGCGGTGCTGGTGGACAACTGTGTTCTCTTTCGTCGATGCTGAGGGTATGAGTGTTGTGATTGTTTTCCAGAGTAAGTGCATGGCTCTAGTCGAGACGAAGTGTTGTCGACACAGCTTTGAACTTCGTCGCCCATAATCAATCCCTTCCCAACCAATTACCGCCGCAAACATAACGGCAGGCAAACCAGCCTGGGAGGGTAGTCTTGATCGACCATCGTCGCAGCACACCTGTGAAGCATATGTTGACAAACATTCAATCTTTCCCTGCGATCAGAGGAACAGACGTTGACCATAATCAGAGACAGGACAGTCGTTGGAATTTGATAATGAAAAACCGACAGAGATGCATTAGCTCATTGTGGAGTTCGATACAGGGCAACGCAACGAAAACAACAAGAGAGTGCACCGACTCCAAAGAGGGCGGAGAAGTACATGACATTGACTTGAACAGCGTACCATGAACCGAACGGCAAGCGTAACACGATGCATATTATACATGTTTCCTCTTGAAACGGTTGGTGCGCTTGTATGTAACAGATTGTTGAGTCGGATGAATCCGAAACAACGATGCAGCATAGGTATGGGAAGACAGGATCGTCTTTAACGTCTCAGATTCTTATTTCGGATGCATCTGAGACACTTATATCATGTAAGATTCAGACCGCCGCAGCGTAGACTAACATTACGTCCTGTATGCAATGCCAAAACGGATCCGCACGTGTACAATCGGCGAAAGCGATCACGAACCTTCCTAATCGGGGGGAAATTGAGAACCTTCTCGAAGTGCCAAACAGTCGGCGGTCAGCGTTGTTGAGTGGCAAAAACACTCTTAGGGAACCTTGCGGTCGTATTCGGAAGATGTTGGCGCAGCACCAGATGCTCACCAAACCGTTCTGGATGTCGATTTAGTGGACAGATCACACGATGACTTTCTAGCAAGCAGTGGTTGATTGTTGGCCCTCCTTCCCGGTCTAGATCTTTGAGAGCAGAGTTTCGCACTCCACGTAAGATCCATATCGGAGAAGGGGACGTGCTGCACTGCCGCTGTTTACTGTAGTCATCAGGAGGGAGTCCATGATGCGAGGACCCGAAAATGAACAATCCTAGGGGACTTTGCAGCCGCGTGAGGAACTTATTGGCGTAGCACTCGATGCTCACCAATCAGTCCTGAATCTCGGCTCTATAAGCACATCATATGATGTCTTACAAGCAAGCAGTGGTCGATTGCTGGCCCACCTCCACGGTGTGGATCTATGAGAGCAGATTTGACGCAATCCACCGTTAGACCCACATCGAAGAGGCGGACCTCCGCTCACGTCTCTTTTCGCCAGGCAGCGGTCCGTGCGCAGACGAGCAAGGGTCATGGGCACCACAGTTCATGCCATCCAATCTGAAAACAATCGTTGGCAGTTGCCAAAGAGGATGCTGCGAGTCCGTTTCGAAGGCGGAGCACTGTTAGGGAAAATTGCACGCCTCCAAGATGTGCAAGCGCAAAACGCGATGATGTCCGGTTATTGAGTCGCAATGAAGGAATCTCAGTGGTTGTTTCTCGGTCAAGGTTTGTTCGGGGGAACTCTTCATGCGTGTTCCCACTCTAACGTTGGGTGGGCACGCACGTGTCCGGTTGGTTGAGTCGGATGAATCCGGGACACAAATGGAACGTCATATTCGCAAGTCCGCAGCGTGCGAGGTCCGTGTATCGGATGCATCTAAGATACTAATGTCCCTTGGGATTTAGACCACCTGCAGCGGAGGCCAATAGTACGTCATGTTCGCAATCCCTTGCACCGATCAGCACGTACGAAAGTGGAGGAAGTGACCAGGAGCCTTCGACGTCGTGGATAAATGACAACCTTCACGAAGTGCCCAGCAGTCGGTGGGCGTTGTTGTTGAGTGGCAAAAGCACTCTTACAGAACCTTGTGGTCATTTTCGGAACATATTGGCGTAGCAGTATATGCTCAACAAACACTGGTTAGTTGTTGGCCCTTTCTTCCAGGTGTGGATGTTTGAGAGTAGAGTCTGACACTCAACCACGAGTCCACAATCGGAGAGGGGTACCTGCCATAACGCCGCTTGTTAATTACTGTCCGCATGAGGGAGTCTCCTTCTCCCTTAGACACGAGGTCTGACAACGCATCCAGATCTTGTGACGTATGGGGTTTCCCGCGGTCGAGGTCTTGAACCGAAGCCGAACATGGCATTTATAGATGATCCGTATACGTGGCACTGCGGTTTGTGGACCATTGCATCATCCAAAAACACGGACATGTATTTCATCGTAACAAACTGTCCTCGTCATGCTAAGGAATTCCCTATAGAGTCTCGTATGTCCGTCACTTTCTCTTCCACCTCACGCCACAATGATAAAACTCTGACCTGACCTGCTCTCACCAAATCTGACTGCCCATCTACATCGGGCCGAGACATCACCGTCGTGAACTTGGATCCCCGAAACATCATTTCGTTTCGTGACACAAGCACAGCTGCATCGACAAGTTTCCTACTCTTGTTCGAAGAAGCCACACATAGCACTCTGGCGAAAGGACATCCGTCATGAGTCAACTGCACACAACAATATGATATAGCTTGTGGATAGTTCCTTGGGCAGCGAGGTGCGTAGTGTTCCAAGAATGAACAATGACGAGCGCAGTCCAACAACTCTTGCTTCTGCGAACTTCCCCAAGTTCGTGGTGAAGATGTGATGTACTCGCAGTTGAGGCGACTGCTCCTGCTCCACCTGCTACGGCAGCGAATCGTTTTACGCTTATCGTCCAGGATTTTTGGTTGGAGGATACCATCAGGCAGTGCAATGAGGCTCCCGAACTCCAACATGTTCGCAAACTTGTAATGGCTTGCCCAAGGGCATGCACGCTCCATCGCCTTCCAATCATTGTCGTTCCATTCATCGATATGCCGGTTCATGTACGGGACGACGGTAATCCACGGGTCGTCTTCGAAGTCCTCCTTGGATGCTCCGTCGGTCGACGTCTCACCGTCATGGTGCCGCACCGATTTTGCACAAGGAGAAAACGGATGTGCTAAGCGCATGTGTTTCTTGGGAGTCATGCTGATGCTTGTCGAAGGTCCCGACGACATTACGCACCCTACACATCACGCACACATAGACATACATACGGACGTGTAGACCGTCGTAAATAAGATTGGCAAATGATATCTCCCCTGGTGAGGCGAACAACCAGTCGTCACGTCCCGCACTTTGTGTCGGCAAGGCCCACATCGAAGTCCCAATCGCAAGTCGCAAAGTAAATGAAGGCCTTTGCAGAAATCACTCGACGCGGAAGACCATTCCATCCCGCATTGCAAAGCACACAGAGGCTTTCCAAAAAGCAGAAAGTCCGTGGAGGATTTCCAAGAAGTCAAGCGAGGACACGTTGCAAAGAAGATGTGGGCTTTCCAAAAGTCATCCGAACCCATGCCGCAAAGTATATGGAGCGGAGGGGAGTAGTCGAATGACACACGCCCTCGTGAACACAATTTATGACTCTGGATATTTCCAGGAAAAACGAAACAACACAACGGTGCCGCATAGTCTACATGACACGCCCCAAGTCGCACTACGAACAAGCCCTAGGTGAAAAACTAACATGCCGGACACAAGTCCAACCGAAGTCCTACACATAAGCTGACTCAAGTCGTAGACCCACACAAACGGTGACTCATGTCAAACTCCTACATTAAACAAAAGCTCATCCAAACACGACACGATGTTCCCTTGCGAACACAACTCCCGCACATAAGGTCGTCCAAGATCAAAACCCGTCGACAACTCGACAGGGCCAGACCCATTGCAAAAGGCATGACAAGAGGGATGTAACTCGCATGGAGATTTTACTTTCTCAACATCTGTTCACATCGAAGATGCAGCAATGTTCAATTTCACGTCAAGAATCCCCGTGGGGATGCACCGCATTCACAATTATGGTAGATGTCCAATTAGAAGGCGATTCCCCTTCTCGTCTTTAGCCACATCCTGTGAGACCTGGGGTCGCCGGGAAGGGTATAGTTCGGATCCATCCCAGCACGGGTCAGCGGAAGCATTTCCATGTTCAGCAAAATCGATCCCGCTCATACCTCATGCCGCACCCAGGGTAGTGGTCCGGATTAATCCGAACTAGCTTATGGACAAAAGTCACGGGCAACCGAGCACACCACGCTTCGCAATGTAAGCCCTTCGGCGGTCTATCCTGGAGGTTATCCTCGCAGGCATTTCGACAATGCTATTTATAGAGACAGGGAATTTGTTAATAGGGGTCGTCGGGATGCACCCGGAATCAAATGACGTCGTGTCCCCTTCGTCGTGTCCCCTTCGTCGTGTCCCCTTCGTCGTGTCCCCTTCAGGCGCGCCTCTTCAGTTATTGCTTGGATGCATCCGAGTCATATAAACGAGCGGAAGAGTGGGGAAGGATCACGAAGGTAGAACTCCTTTGTCGTTGTCTGTTGCGTGCTTGTCAAGAATCCTGATGAATCCGATTCAAAATTTGCGTAAACCGTTGTCATCCCCTCCCCGTGAGACTTCGCACCACCTGGGAGGGGTGTGGTTCGGATTCATCCGGCACTGGTTCGGACGGTTCAGTTTCCCAATTTTCGAACTTCTTACCGGCGGGACTTCCCGAGACAGCGATCATGTGACTCGGATCCATCCGAACTACTTCGCACAAGTGGGATCCTGGCGGAAACAAGACTTCTTTCCTGATGACATGCATACCCCGTGCGGAAGAACAAATACGAACAAAACCCTGGAGTGTTGTCCCTAGCCCCTTCTCGTATGTAGTTCGGATACATCCGGACTTGAGTAGAAGGCCAATGCAGAGGGGTTTAATCCCAAACCACCCTCACCGTGTCCGAAAAGAATGACTCGGATTAATCACAGGTTGCAGGGTGTCAATCTATGATTTCTCCACGAAATGATTGACGACTGACTTCAACAGAGATTGGAACATGCCGTCGTCGTGAACAACCATGTCCACGTCGGAATGTGGCGTGTTGAATTCTTGGCTTTTGCAATGGGATGGTGCACGAAAGGCGATGCTATACCGATGTTGTGGGTTCGCGATGGAGCATGACAACGCTCCTTCCATCTTCGCTGCGCGTGACAGGTCTTCGTGCAATGTCGACAATGCGCGTGAGGTGTGTGATGCCCGGTGTCGAGTGTGTTTCTGCGTGCTGGCTTTTGTGTGGCAAAGGGCGACACGTTGCAGTTAGTGGTTGGGGATGCATGCATTGTGATAGTTTAACGCGCAGCGTCCAGTCGACAGGTGCACGAGATGACGAGGGATAGCTGTCACAAGATCTGGAAAACGACAAGACCCGCGCTACGCAGGCTGCGTCTGCAAGCCGATTTGTAAGTTCCACGGCGCGACCACAACATCCTCACTATGTCGTCAATCTGGCGACATCCAATCGTGAACGGGCGAGATCAGGCTTGTTCGATAACAAGAGCATAAAATGATGGAATCACCACAATGACATCACAAAGGTTGCGTGAATAAGACAGTCCACAGGAATAGGGGATCGTCAAGTGGGTTAGGATGCGATCTCGCGGACACCAAGACCAATAGCCTTGCGACGTCGCCCACGTGTCAGATGTGGTCGTCCAGGGCGTCCGATGAAAGACCCAAACTACTGCCTTTTGGCGACGTCATTCAAGAGATGATGATGTCAGCATATGTCAGTAGCTCTTGGCTTCCTCCGATCAGTTGACGCGAGTGGGGAAGACATGTGACGTGGACTGACGTGTGTGCACCGTCGCATGTCGAGATCGTGCGGCGATCGTCACGTGTGTACATGACAAGGCAAACGAAGTTGTGCGGGCGACTGCATTTCTAACTTTCCGGGAAAATGGGAAACAAGAGCTGGCATTGAGGGGGGAAGAAGATGTGGATGGGTGATGAGAAGGGGGGAAGATGTGGATAGGCGATGAGAAGGGGGGAAGAAGACGCAGGGCCTTGGGAGAGTTACGGTGGCCGGGTGGAGGACGTGGGAATTTTACTGACCTGCGAGCCGATAAAACCCTCAAACGGATGCATGAGCACAAGGTCGCACGCAGGGTCGCACGAAAGGTCGCACGAAAGGTCACACGAAAGGTCACAAGCAAGGTCGCACGCAAGGTCGCATGTCACGTGTCATTTTCGTAGGCGCCCGCAGCTATCGAGGATTGCTCGGTGTAATGACGCCGTGACAGCGCTTGTGGCCAGCGATATGATGGCGGGCGTCTTCTAGCGATGGCGGACGCGTCGCTGTGGTAGAACACGAAAACGATGACGCCAGCGAATGAGATTGACAGCACCCCGGTCCGATTCGTGCTGCGAAATGGCACGTGCGTTTCTGATCGGGGGTCGCGTTGGGAGCTGTGTCATAGGGTGGGCCCTCCCATTTTTTTCGGACCATCCCGTCTAGAAATCGCCCTGTCCGTGACCGTTGCAGGACGGCTGCCCAGTTCCAACCGCTCGATCGGGGTCAATCGACCGCCGCTATGGAGCAGCTACCGGAAACATTCCCACCCACGTATGTTTTTTGGAGGCCGCAGGTGTGTTCGCGGCCTCCGAACGAAAATTTCCCGCCAATCGACAATTTCACAGGGCCCATCTTGAAATGTCCCCCCTCCGCCCATGTTGCACCCGCCCGATCGCACCCTATCCACGGCTCCCATAAACCTGTTCGCGGAAACTTTCCCGCCCACCTGTCCTTTCGGGCCCTGCACGGATGCATCTGCCATTTGAACGACGACGACAACATTCCGTGAATTTGGGCCACAAGTCTGCTGTCACAAGCATCGCCCCTTCCCTGTGCGCTCTAGGCGCCGGCATAGCCATCACGGCGCCATCTCCCCCGTTGCCATCTCCCGCATCGCCATCTCCCGCGTCGCCATCTCCAGTGTCGGCATCTCTCACGTTGCTATATTCCACGTGACCCCGTTGGCACGTCGAAATCTCTCGCCTCGCCTTCTCACGCGTTACCATTGCCCGCGCGGCCATCTCAGGCGTTGTCATCTCCCGCGCGGCCATCTCTGAATTTGGCATCTCCCTCGTGGCCATCTCCCTCGTGTCGCCATCTACCTCGTGGCCATCTCCCAAGTCGACGACGACGTTGCCATCCTGCAGCGCTTCTAACACAATTCCGAAAAAGGTGCGTTCTCTCTCTCTCTCGCTCTCTCTCTCTCTCTCTCTCTCTCTCTCTCTCTCTCTCTCTCTCTCTCTCTCTCTCTCTCTCTCTCT